TTTTGTGTGACTCGCGTCTTCATTTCGACGGAAAAGTTGGTTGGAAGGAAGGGTTAGTCTCATCGGAAACTGAAAGAATGAAGATTGTTGGATTGCGCGAAAAAGTCGAGTCACACTAGCCCACTAAGGGACTCTTCTTCACTCATCCTTTTCGCATATAAGCCTAACCTTGCCGCATCACTAACTCATCAATGCGAAACTAGTTTCTCTTTCCTTTCGGGCGTTTGTTCTATTTGTGAATGGCAAGTTGCCTACACTCTCATCACTGTCCTCAGCTTCTCTTCTTTCTACTCTTGCGAAGGCCATCCACAGCGCGACCAGATCCACTGGGCTCTGCCAGACGTGGTGGCAGGGCGCGAAGCCGTGACCCTTCCACTTGAACTTGAGGGCCTTCTCTTGGCACAACCGAATTTCCCTGAATTCTAGGCCACTTCGAATGGAACGTCTGTCCACCAGTTTGCTAGTAAAGCACTTTGTACTCTGACGCGTAGAGATAATTTTTGTTGAACAAATATCTCAGCTGGCGTCTTAATTCCTGCAATCCATTTGCACATTGTGTCTACTCTATGCTTTCTTTAAGCATCCTGGCCCCTCTGCTTTTCTCTCCTTCAAGTTTGTCCATGTGCATATACAAACAAATAAATAATAGACAAACGAACAAAAAAACATAGCTACATACATACACATATATGTATATATATATATATGTGTGTGTATGTGTGTGTGTGTGTGTTGTATACATGAGCCTATGATTGCGTGTCTTTGTCTCTATAAAGTATGAATGGCTCTATCTTGGTGGGTGATAGAGACAACCTTTTCTCCAGATGCACTCCGGCACAAGAAAAGTCTACTGCCTGCAGGGCCGATCGATTTGGTATTCCATTTTTTAGGTTCCGCCTATCAATGCCTACGGGTGGAAAAGGTATCGCACCCGTTACTTTACCGGTTAATCAGGTTCTTCAGCTGGAACGTGTTTATGTCTACTTCGCCTCGGTCGTTGAGGCCGCTGTTGTGCGTCTGCTTAGCCGAGAGTGGGCGAAATTGTTGGCTCTCAGCTCCTCTTCGGGCCTCGGAGACGAGGCTAGGAGGGGAGTCCTGTGCCAGAGGGTTGTGGGTCTCGTGGGCAACTCGTGATCTGCCCCATGATGCCTTCAGGAGCACAAAAGGCTCACCAGGTTCACGTCAGGCTATCCCGAAGGCGGAAAAGGATCCGGGGTTAGTATTTTGACACAACTGACCAACTGAACAGTAAAGACGGCCAGTTTCAAATTCAACGCCAACCCCTCTATTAACACGCATTTGGGGCCTTTTTTGGGCTCGCCACTCCGACTACTTCTGGCGAATGTTTACATGAACAAATCGGACGTAGACTTCGAGGCGTCACCTCGGCGACCAGGAATGCTCATGCGGCGATATCCACATGGCTACTTTGTTGTACTTTGTTCGCATGCAAGAGAAAATTTGGACGAATTTCTTAGGTTGATGAGCCCGAATGATGAAAGAATCAAATCCACGATGTAAGGGGAGAATATTGGGCGGCTACCTGTTCTGAATTACGAGGTTATTGGCTCAAATAAGGCACTCGCGAGATAATTTTTCAGCAAGAAGCATCCTCCATTTCCCATCTCATCACGCATACAGACTGCAGATTGGAATAGTGAAGAGCGCGATTATTAAACGCGATTATTAAACGCACGGGATTCCAGGATGGGTTGGTGATCAAATTGAATCGTATGTCTGTCCACAGCGATATCATATAGAAATCATACAACGTAATATGCTCGCCATGAAAAACAGACAGAGATATGGGGATTGTGAAATGAAAATGAAAATGGTTAAAAGCATAAAAAAGGGGATATGTCTATCTTCATGCGTTGAGCTCACTTCCATTTCGAGTGAACGCGCTTGCTGAAGAGATTCGAACGACGACAGTAGATTCCTCTCGATCAGGCGTCGATTCGTTTTACTGAAACATCCTTTTTGACGCTGCTCCGAGGCATTCTCCTTCGATTTCGGTCAAAACGTGCAGTGTTTTCGTCAGAGTTAAGAAAACTCGTTAGCTTGCATATGGTTGTAAGGTTGATGTCCGTCATACGACGGAGAGAGGCTTATCACGTTATCATCGGAATCGAAAGAGATTGCCTTGGAAACAGCGTCAACAAGAATTTTCCAATAAAGCCAATCAACGTTGGGCCAAGAGGAATCCGCCGTTGTCTTTTGGTAGGCTGCATCTTCGAATCCCCAGTCGGTATGTAGATATCTACAAATGATGCCGATTTGCTCATTTATCTCCACGACAAAAAGCAGCTTTTTGAGGAATCACATGCTATACAAATGTTGAGCTCATTCTCATTTCACGTGAAAAAAGGGCAATGTGCAAATCCGTGGAGGTCGATCCCGAAAGACGGTCGTTTCTTCCTGGACTGGCTGTTATTTCACCCTACTGGAATATAATTGAAGGCGAGCTGGGCGCTCGTTTTCACACAAATCGAATGTGTTTACCTCGTGGACAGCGTCAACGGGAATGTTTACTTGAAACCAGCCGATTGTTGGCAAAGCGGAATCTGCTGTCGTCTTTCGGCGGTGTCGAGCCGCGATCTCTTTATCGCTCTCCTTTACTCGAAGTCAAGCGACTCAACTTTACGTAGGCTTAAGCTAATACTGTGTTTCTTTGACCATGTTTTCGCGACTTGATACATTCTCAGTCGTTTCGCCGACATTTCTTTGAGAAACTGCATCCTTCGCACAAATTTACAGTCGGTCAAAATGACAAATTGTAACTCTGCCAGTGACGTTGTCGGTGGAACGTCTAGAAATGTGGCAAGCCAACCTTATAATGCTGGAAGGTATTGCGAATAATATGGCAGATGACACCGGACTGGTTATCTTCCACAGGCTCGACCAAGTTGCGATAATGAGGTCAAACCACGAGTATGCTGCTAAAAGAGACTGCGACCAAACCTAAGGCACACCATCTTGATCTTTCTACTAAACAAATATTACTCTAGAATAATTATCCCTTAGGCTTGGCTGAGAATACCATCGCTCTATTAAGAAATACATATTTTGATTGAGAACATTTGAGAATAAATGAAGAACTGGGGACTTTTACTCATGTCCTGATTCTGCCTACTTGTTTTTTTATCTAAAAAGCTGGGCGAATTGGTCGGAAGTGGGGCATATGAAGAGTCTTAAAGGAAATCATGGCACTATTTCTGGTCATTCTCACTTTTAGGACTTATTTTGGCTTATCATCCTGATCGGACTACAATAAAATATAGAGTTTATGGTGCCACTTTCAGGCTGGAGAGAGCTGAATACAAAATTGCCTATACAGAATGTTAGGTTCGATGCTCGTACTGGGCCTATGATGTAATTCTTCCAAGTTAATCGTTTGTATAGTGCTTTGTAAAAAAAAAACAGGATAGGTAATTGAAGCCAACAGATCAGGCACTTCACTTAATGTTTGGACTAGAGGTGAGCAGTAAATTGAGAAGTACTTATGCTTAACTGATAGACTTAAGAATAAAGAGGGTGTTGAGCCGGTTGGAAAAAGGAGGTGACTCAATTAGTCCTTTGTTGGTCATAGTTCCAATTACTGTCACACTTTTAGATACCTCTGAGTCTACACAAAGATCTCTCATTTACCTAACCACACGTGTGTCCGACATTACACAATTGGAGTGACGGTTAAGCCAAAGGTGTCATCAAACTTTGCTGATTGAGAAGAGATGTTAAGCTATGCTCTAATTACTTGGTGCCCTCTCTGCTGGTCTTGTACCTTTAAGTGCATATGCACACGCAAACATACGGTCACATGCTTTTAGATGGGCACTTGGCATGTATTAACCTATTCATTATGTACCTCACAAAAGGTTTCCAGGCTTAGAATGTGAATTTGGCCTGTAGGGATGGACCACAAGTTTGTTTGACTTAGTTGATGATGTCTGGTGATATGTGAGATGTGTAATCTCAAAAGCATACTTGCAAAACGAACGATGAATGATGATGTCTGTTAAATGGCAAAACAGACAAAAATTCAGCCATAACGGCTGGTTTCACCCTATTTCGTTTGAGGTGTTGAAAGACAGGTATCTCAGTTTTCCCGCAATCATCTAACTAGGCCTCATGTTTTCACAGACTTTCACATAACCTTGCTGCCCAGAAGGTATTCTCATTCTGGCGAGACTGTAGTTTCGGCCTCGCTAAGTCTTACTAGCAGTCCATCCTTAACAAGTATACCTTTTGGGAAGTAAGTTTGTACGAAATTCAACGGAGACATTAGACCTATTCATATCATAGTGGGAAAATTAAATTGCCAATCCTTCACTTGAAAAGATATATGATGAATGCAATTATTATATTAGATCTACTATTAGTTTCGAAAACCTACTTATAAAGAGAAAAGAAGTAATGTAGATGATAGCTATAGCAAATACATCTTCGCTTCGTCGATATTCCTATTACCTAAATTTGATATGGGAAAGGCCTAGGGTTCCTTTAAATTCACTTCTTCCTTGTCACTCAAAGGCATTATTGGCAGTTTAGCGTTTCAATTATTGTGTAGAGACTAAACCCTGCACTATCGGAGTTCGAATCCCTTTGGTAGTGCAGTACACTTCTGCTTGCCTGAGAATACCTTTTTGAGAAGCACGGCTATGTGAAATTTAATGGAAACACGATGCCTTCTCGTATGATTGTGGGAAAACTCAACTTTTGGTCCTTCACCATATGCGACCTAGACTGACTCGAACTCTTACTGGAGCGAATAAGGTTTTTAATCTGGATCTAATTTAGTTATCAAAATCTTTTCAAAATGAATATAAGTATACACGAACAAATTGCGAGTTTTGAATGATCTTATGACATAACATTGTTGTGAAGACTTTTATTACGTATTGAAGTACATGGTCAATCCGACCAGATGACGCCGGCTGATTCGTGTTGTACCGCAACCGCTTGGCTTTAATACCACCTTCAGATTGATGCAGTCCATGAGATATCCTTCTACGTTTCGGAAGAGGACGGGCGGAGTCTTCGTTCGTCATGCCACATGAAGAGTATCGTCAGAGCCGAGACTCATTATTGCAAAAGCTTCAAATCAACACTAACTCAAAAGGGCGTTAACTTGAGGCTTTTGCAAGAATGAGTCCTATCTCTGACGATGTTCGTCATATGACGAACAAATCATCAGCCAGTCGTCGCCCAAAACTTTGGAGGATGTCTCGTAGACGGCATAAACCTGAACGTCATGTTAAGGCCAAACGGCTGCAGTACAACGCCCATCAACCTGCGTCTTCTGGTGAGATTGACCTACAAATCTCTTTACTATGTACTTTATGCGACCCGAAAGTCTTAACAAAAATGAATATAAGTAACATTGATAAGGATGATAATAACTTTTGGGGAGCAATACTATGTGAAATTCTATAGAAAAATGATGTCTTCTCATATGATTGTGGGAAACTTAACTCGTAAATAGCGCCAACCAGTCATGCCGAATGATCACTTGTTCAGGGGGATGGGCCCACAGGATTCTTATCATCTCACCCTTTTACTTGAATTGCAAATGGTCTCAACATTCGTCTCCATCATGGCTGTGACTATCCAAATATATCCTTAGATTGAGTTGTTTTAAGAACTTAGTCACCCTAGGTCTGACTCATTCGGATGTGTAAAGACCAAGATAGAGCTCTCTCTATTTTGGATATGAACTGCTTTTGTTGCATAGATGTGGTTTGGCCGTGTTATTTCAAGTTGCTCATGTTTTCAAGGTGACCTAGATCTGTGTCAATTGTCCTGAGTACTCTTCCATAGTAGTCATGATAATTTCCATCATCGGACAGAGGACTGGGTAAATTCCCAGACGTTTTCCGGCATCTTCAGCGAGTCTTGCCGGTAACTACAATTCATTAAAGATACAGCTAAGGGCGATTCCTTGACAATTTTTCTGCTGAGCATAGATTTGAAAACCATGTCATTATGGTAGGAGTCTCCTTTGTGCTGACCAATTGTGGTATATACACCTATCCCATAGCCTCGTATTGCCTTCTTCATTATCACAACTTCTTGCTTGTTTAGTTTATGCGAAGAAAATGTTGGGCTTCGAGGAAGCTCTTGTTTCATAATTGTTG